ATATTTTATATATGTAGCATGAATAACTAATGCTGATTTTATTTGATCCTTTTTATGAAGCTCTTTTTTGAGAACATTTGTAATTGCGGTTCGTGCTGAAGCTATAAATTGGGGCATGTAAGGCGCATCTGCATATTCTGTCTGATTGTCTAAACATTTGTTAAAAGCATATGCAGAATTTTTGATTGAGGGTATCACGCCTTCCCATACTGTCATAGTATTGAGATTTTGATGTTGTCTGTTGGGGTCAGGTCTTCTTTCTAAAAATTCTATGTTTTTTGTAGGTGGCTCTTTTTCTATAATTCCGTCTTCTACTTCGTAAATTGATCAAAAATGGTTTTCTGGTGCGTATTTTACCTCTCTATATGCTTGGGTGGCAGGGCCTGGACCGGCTTCTGGATCCCCATCTTGAATTTCGTTCTGCGAGGGAGAAAGTTGTACTGGTATTTGAATAGGCTTTGGTTTGTATTTAAACTTTCTTTTTAGATGAGCTTTTTGGTCACGAGTTTTTTTAAAGTCATCTTTACCGCATCGTGGACATGGTGGTATCATTATGAATATATGTGTATACTTTCAGTTGTTTGTATTAATAGTACAAAAACTTTTGTTTAAATTAAAATATTTATCCGGGTGTTGCTTCTCCGGGATTTGTATTAATACTACGAAATCTTTTGTTTAAAATAAAATATTTATTCTTGTTATTATGATAGGTGAATACATTTGCAACTATTTGCTCAGAACGGGGGTCATTTGTGAGCGGACCTGTCGCCGGCCCGAAGGGTGCCAGAACATTGGAGAGCCAAGAAGCGTCTTCCTTGTAAGGTATGTAATATGCTGACTAGCTCTGAGCCCGGCCTTTGTAGAAAGCATGCTAGTGGATATTACGTAACCCAGTATATTAATAGACTTCAGAAAAAGGCTTGGGAGCTTCAACTTTATAAAAATTGTTAGGGTTAGATCTTTATACCTAGTCTGAAAAATTTACACATAGCCCAAATTTTTTTACACCTATCTGAAAAATTTACACCCAGCCCGAATTTTTTTACACCCAATGCAAAAATTTTCACCTAAAGGTGAAAATTTTTGACCCTTGCTAAATAGTATTAAATCGCGTTTTGAATTAATTCTAGGATAACATAGAAAATAGTATGCATTTTAGGCTTGAATGGGCTCGCAGAGAAGCACACTCGGACACTTCGGTCCTCGGTGCTCTCTGCTCATTTCAAGGGCAAGCGAAATAGCATAATTGTTTTGTTATCTTGTTTGGGATTAAAAACATAGCCAGAACGTTAACAAAGACTACTTACTCCTTAATGTTGGAAGCCCAAATTTAGGAGTAAGAAGAGTAAGTTAACAGGATTTGGCTCTAGCGTAATTTAAAGCTTGAATTCGATATAAGATTAAATATATCTAGAAAGGTCTGTAAAGGAGGTAGGAGATCATTCTGGATACATTTACGGAATTTTGACCCCAGAACCCCCAGTTTGGCCCTACTTGAGGTACAAAAAAAACAGTTCAGTTGGTAAAGCTGTAAGACTCTTCATCTAATAGTAAAGTACTGTACAAAAGACAATTCGGTTGGTAGAGCTGAACTAGCATAGCGGGCTTTTATTGTAATTGGCTGATTTTTATAGATCATCCTGTGATATTGCAAAAATATCATTGGTTAATCGAAATTATTCGCAAGACAAATTTTATATTCTGATATAATTAATACTTGAATATTCATTACTACCATATAAAATCATTGGCATTAATAAATGCATTACTACAAAATCTATCAACTTAAAAGTCTAAAACTATCATCCCGATACAAACAAAATCCAAGTACTTATTGTTATTAAAAAAGTACACAAATTTTAAAAAAAATTATAAAAGCTCAAAAAACAGTTAAAAAATATAAACCACCATTTATTTCAAAAAACAATAAAAACCAAATAAATAATTTTTTAATAGTATATGATACATAACAGTTAATTAATTTAGCAAATAAATCTAAATTAATAATCTTGAATATAATACTATTCTTTAATAATCTTAGACGTAATGCTATTTTAACCTCTTATAAAGCTCGTATGTTCATACTTTCAATATCTTATGTCACTAATCTATTTTACTGGCAGTACTTAAAAAAATAAAAATAAGTTATAAATAAAATAGTATCGTTAAACAATTTGAAAATTTTTGAGACTACATAATCTGGACACACTACATGATCTTTCACTCATACTAATTTATAACTACTCACTTTTATGCGCTGTTCTTATGATTTGGTAATAGCGAAATTTATGCGCTACACATAACTTCAAAATTTATGTGCTGTACATATGATTGATAACAGCTCATATTTATGCGCTGTACATATGATTATATGATAACAGCTTACATTTATGCGCTGTATATATGATTTGATAACCACTCACATTTATATGCTATATATACTTTAATAACAGCTCACATTTATGCGCTGTTCATATTATTAATAACAGCTCACATTTATTCCCTGTAAATATGATTTTGATAACTACTCGCAGTTATATGCTATACATATGATTGTATAGCTGCTCACATTTATGTACTGTACATATGAATTTATAACGGGCCATATTTATGAGTTGTGTACTATGTATTTATGATATATGCTTACAAGCTATTTTTGCATTGATAAATAAAAAAATCAGAGCTGTGCCTAATAACTAAATATAGCTCTAAACAAAATCAATCAATTTATAAATTGATAAGTGCACATTTTTTAAAATAATCTACCAACAAAAATGTCTACTCATTACAAAGTATTAAGGAATACAAGTTATGTATTTTTTAAATAAATATTAATTAATATTATATTTATTTATTAAAAATTATAACTTTTGAAATAAATAGGTAAAGAAGATTTACAAAAAAACATAGAACTTAATATCTAAAAATGAAGAATTAAGAGCCCAAATTAACCAACAACATACCCAAATTAATGAACAACAGACCAAAATCGCAAACTTAAAACGAACAAAGGTAAACACGTTGTATAACTGTTTAAAATATATTATTTAATATTTATAGAATATTTATTTGATTATAAAATAAGAAAACTAAAAATCAAAAACGAAAGAAGGTTAAGAAAGATGAAGTTAACATTTTCTTATAGAAAGAAAACTTAAAAAGAGAAAAGATCAATTCTATAAATATGATTCTTTTTACTATTCGCAAGCTAAACGACAAACATATTATATATGATGACTTTGAAGAGGAATATGACAATTCATCAAATAAAGTAGAATATATTAAAACAAAGTTTAATAAATATATAACGGAAAGACAAATAAACCTGAAGCTCTAGCAAATAAATATAAATTTGGTCTTTTCATTAATTATCTAATCAATTATCAAGACTTTAATGAAAAATTAAAATACCACAACACTTGTTTCCAAAGAATAAACAAGCTTTATAAAATTATTGGAAACAACATAAATGATCTCCCTATCCCATTCGATTGGTTTAAAGGAGCTCATGGTATTATATTACTTTATTCATTATTTTAATTTTTTATAATTTCTAATTAATTATCATTATGAAATAATTAATTAATAATTTTATAGAAACTTCGAAAATTGATTCATTAACAGAGTGGTTCAAATTCAAAAAGACATTTAAGTTTCTTTTTGATTTAATTTTACATTATTATTCATTTTAATTAATTATATTAATTACTATCACACATAAATAGGTGACGATAATAATTTTAATGCATTAGTTTTGCCTTATCCTAAAGTAGACTTTATCAATTTACCAGATCGCATCGAAGCCTTTAAGAATAAAATTGAAGATATTACTCGTAATTATGATCAAAGTTATTATCATTAAGAAGCAATGAAACAAATTGATGATCTTGGTTTCAATAATTCTCATTCCATTAATACGCAAATGAATATTAATGACAAAATCATAGCATGTATTTATAATCGATTAAAACTATTATTAATTATTTTAAGTTATAACTAATTCTAAATACCCGCAGCCTGGTTATTACGGTTCTAAAGGGTTATAAATAATTTCTGATAAATTAAAAGAACTTTTTATAGTTAATGGAAAAATTGACAATCTTATGTGCGCTCTACAAAGTACAATTGACTATCTTTTTATGGTTTTATTATCTGAGACTACCACGCTTTTAATTATGGAAGACTTTAAAAGTTGATTTGACAAGGCTAGAAAAATAATAGAAGAAAGTGTGGCGTATGGTTGAATATTTAACAACGAAGAAGAAATATTAATCGATAGTGAAAATGATGGTAGTGATGATACTGATGAAGAAGAAAGTTATTAGTTAAAATATCTTAGAAACCTTTTAGCGTTTTTATATTTTTCTTATATCAGTGATATTTGTAAGATAATAAATTTACGTGAAAGAACAATTAGATTCATTTCTAGTACAATACTGTGGACCTACTGGTTTTTGAGATTAATTTTATTTCAAATTAACATTAGCAAAAAATATTATTCTCCTCTGATGAAACTGTGCAAAATTTTTATGAGTATGAAAAAAAGAAAATTTGCTTTTTATGCCAATAACTCTATTAGTGTTGTTGATTTTTTCACGCTTAAATTCTCGAGAAATCCCAAGTCCTCAAATAAATGATCTCCAAAGGCACCAGTATTAAGCTACTTGAAGAGAAAAATATTTAAAAGCACATATTTTCTTGAGTGAATCCTTATTAACAGTACACTGGGATTTGAATTTTATTATATTTGGGATTTGGGACAATTTTACCATACTTACTATTGATGCCAAAGTAACAAGAAAGAAAGCTAGAACCTAAAAGAAAAAGAAAAATGAAGTTAGTACTAATTATATATTAAGAATAAAAAAAAAAGAAGGGATACTTATAAGAAAGAAT